ACCGATCACCAAGATCACACACAAAGGCGAAATTGAAATTGAAAGCCAGGAACCAGTCAAAGCACCAGAGCCTGTAGAAGTAAGTATCTGATCAAATATTACTCTGCTTTATGTAGCAAGTACAACACAGTGACATCTACATGAACTACTTTATTTCCTCACTTTTCAGCTTGAGCCTCCTCCCAAAGTGACAGAGGTCTCAGCAGAGCCTCCCAAAACCCCAGAGAGCAAAACAGAGAATACTAAGACGGAGAAAGACACCACCAGCCAACACAAGTCTCACCTGTTTGACCTACACTGCAAGATTTGCACAGGTAAGCCCTGATATGAGCAAAAAAAAAAAAAAATGGTATCAATCATTAAATGCTGTCTTTAGCTAACTATTTTTTTCAGTATGTCACCGTCTTTAGTTGCTAACTTGTTGCTTTTTGTTTTATTTTCTTGCACAAGGTCGTATGGCTCCACCTGTGGAGGAGGCTCCTACTAAAGTGGTCAAAGTTGCTACTACAGTGGTTCGGAGGCAGTCGACAAAAACGGAAGAGACAAAGAGCAAAACCCCGCCTGCACTCGACGATGACCTCCACCTCACAGTTTTAGAGGAAAGCTTTCGAAATGCTCAGTCAAGCTATGAAGGAAGGTAAGCAGTTGTTTCTGACACTGTATTTGCCTCTGGTGTGCAACTTTGTTTCTGCGCGCTCGCTTCACCGCTGCCGTGTTTGCCACAGATCGGATCATACAGCTGGGAGAGATGAAGAAACTACTTTCCTTTCCAACCTCAAGTCCCTGTGGCGAGGATTCATTCACATGCACTCTGTGGCAAAACTTGTGACAAAAGCTTTTCCTGTCTCAGGCATTTTGGACCACCTGACAGAGGTAAGGTGGACACAGAAGAATGTACTTAGATTTTGAAAAGCTGTTATTAAGCATTGTAGACAGTAAATACTGGCAGTAATGTGCTGCTTCCACATACGCATTCAAGTAGATGAGTGAGAGCTAGATTTGCAGCCACTGCAGCCTCCCACTGAACTCAACAGGCACAAAAAGCTTCACCACAAGGGAAAGTTGAAAAAGGCTCAACTTTGTACAAATATCCTCTGGCGCATTTTGAACAGCCAGCTGCAGTGAACAATGCCGAGAACACTTTCAGCACATACACAGGACCAAAATGTCAATCACGTTTGGGAGCTACGGCGCCATTGTGGTTTTAAAACAACTGCAACAAGTACCATAAGGTAAAAAAAATAAAAAAGTCTAAACAATGCTAACTTTTATTGTTGCACAGTTTGTCAAAGAACAAACTGTCTAAAAGGAAATGAAAACATTCTTGTTGGATTAGAGTAGAGCAGAGAATTCTAAGTTACAACCCACCCCCAGAACAGTAAATTCATGTGAGGTCTGATACTGCCAACTACTTTGTAAGTGTGAACACTCCATAAGGTTTGGTCTTTTTTTCTTCTTCCTTCCCATTAGGACCTTCCAGACAGCATTCAAGTTGGTGGGAGGATAAGTCCGCAGACAGTCTGGGACTACTTGGAGAAGATTCGGGCAACTGGAACAAAAGTGAGTTTTGGCAGCTTTTCTTCTTTGAGAATTAAACAGCCTTAAGTAACATTCAGTTAATAAATACAGTCATCCACAACTACATATGGTTTTCTTCCTGTGGACAAGAACAAAGCTGCAAGGCATTATTCTTGCGATGGCGTAGCTTGAACTGAATACCAGACAGTTAACGTCACAAGATGCATTGCAGAGCCCTGGTCAAAACTTTCTGTACATTAATTGTAGACTGTACTGACACATACTTTTCTTTTTACAAAAGGAGGTGTGCTTGATTCGCTTTGCCCCGGAGACGGAGGAAGATGAGATCTCCTATACCCTTCTGTATGCCTACTTCAGCAGTCGTAGACGTTTTGGGGTGGTGTCCAACAACCTGAAACAAGTGAAGGACATGTATCTCATTCCTTTGGGCGCCACAGAAAAAGTTCCGCATCAGCTTGTTCCCTTCGATGGGCCAGGTAACCCTGAACTCTAGACCTTGGATAAATATTTTCTCAGTGAATTACACAAACATTGCTGATCTGTCAAACTTAATTAATCTTCTAATTTGATAGGTTTGGAAAACAACCGTGCCAACCTTCTCCTCGGGCTCATTATTCGCCAGAGACCGAAAAGGGATTTTCTTCCTGTGGACATGAACGAATCCGCAAGGATTATTCCTGAAATCAAGCCCATCACCATTTCCGCGAAAGAAACAAGAGCAACGGAGGAGGATGAGAAATTCTTCCTATCTTCCTTGACTGCAGCACATAAAAAAGAAAAGGACAAACCACTTGACACTACTGAAGATGTTAATGAGCCAATTGCAGAATCTTTTGAAGAACCATCTGTACCAGAGGAGACCAACAATCAGGAAACACAAAAACCACTACGCTTTCTCCCAGGTGTGTTAGTGGGCTGGGGGGGAGAATTACCACCTCTGCCAGATGTTGGAGGTAAACCTGCTACAACAGCACATGACACCCAGAAGACCCAGCCTGCTCCGAAAGCAGAGGCAACAACTGCGAACTCAAAAAGTCCAACAGCCGCTGCGCCCCGAGAACGCTTTGTCATTAAGAAGAAAGAAGCTAAACCTGTTAAAGCTGAACCGGAGCTACCCAGCCCAGCTGATACATCTGCTGCTAGCAGCTCATCGGGAAAAGATGCTGCAGTAGTTAGCCATAGTGCATCAGTTTCACTGAGAGATAAGCCTCCAGATGTATCGACTGAAGCATTCCTGGCAAGCTTGTCAACAGCTCCAAGAGGGACTGAAACTAGCAGTGCTGTCTCGACAAACAAAGGCAATGCTGGCCTTTTGTCTGAAACTGAAAAAGGAACAACTGAAGGGAATTCTCTGTCGCAGTCAAAATCCCAGGCTGCTTCAGATCACACAAATAGCTCAAAACCTCCTTTAAGTGGAATATTGAAAAAATCTTCAGCATATTCCACAGTGAATGAAGACAAAACAATGGTGCTACAAAAGGATAAAGCCAGCCTCCCAGATCCTTCAAGTCCTAAACCTGTTCCCATTTTGAGCAGCACTAGACATGATCTAGTTGTACCATTTCACCAAGGGTATTTACAGCTTTCTCAGGCCAAGCACAAGCCTGAAGGACAAAACCAAACTGCCGTTCAATCACTTTCCGATAAAAAGGATGAACCTGGCGTGGCCCAGGCTGGTGCTGTCAAAACTCAGACGCCGTGTCCTCCTACTGTTCAAGGACCTCAAGCAGCATGTAACACGGAAGCCTCTGAGTCCCAGCACGACTCGGTAATGGCACCAGTTCTCCCAGTATACAACAGTGCAGCACCTTTGCCCTCGCAGCAGCAACAGCCTCAGGTACCTGGCAGCTATGACTACCCAGTCGCCCCTCCTAGCAACACCTTTTCCAGCCCACAAATCCAGGATCAGAATCATAGTATGCAGTGGGCTCAATCACAGTATCCCGAGAGTTGCTCAGACCCATCTGGCCGACCCCCATCCCTGGCCAAAGACCAGAAGCGTCCAGAGGAGCGATGCAGCGAACCCTGGGAGAAGGCGCGAAGTACCGAAGATAAAGATCACCACGGGAGGCACAGCTACCACAGGGACTCACATCACGGGAAAAAGAGCCGACACCACGACCGGGAGCGGGAGAAAAAGCACGATCGCAGCCACGACGACAAGTACAGGGAGAAGAGCAGGCACCACGGACACTCGGACGATCGCTACGGTGAGAAGAGGAAAGAGAGGCACCACAGTGATGACTACAGCAGCCGTCACAAGGATAAACACAGACACAGACGGGACTCTGATTATGAGAACGGACGGAGAAGTTCAAAAGACAGTTATTCATAATTATATTGCGGTTCTATTTTCGTTAAAGCCCTGCCAGTGAGTGCTGGGGGGGAGGGTTCTGAGAAGGACGGAAGATTTTCAGCTTGTGGATCACGTGGCTGGTAAAAAAAAAACAAAACACTTTGGTTATATTGGCAGCTGGTGGAGTTATTTGTTATTTTATATACCAGTCTGCATCTGTATGTCTTTTATAGAAGTTCCGGTTAATGGTATCGACAGTACGGCCAAGATGTGATATCATTTCAGTTGGATTATAAATATGATTATAGATATGTTCTATTCAAGACCAAGAAAAAAGTCAATATTGGAACATTTTCAACTTTTTAAACCTTTTATTGTATATATCTCGTTCATATTGAGCTGCTGTACTGACCACAAATCATCAGTTAACATTGTCGCTGTCAAAGGTAACTACAACACAGGTGTGGACCATTTTTTATTTTTTGGAAAGATTTAAGTACAATGTTTGGCCTGAATGTAACACAGAAGATATTTAACTGAGGACAGAGATCTAATCAGCAAATTTGTGTCCTTTTTTTCAATTTAATTTCTTTTTAATTGCTTAAATATTTTATATACTTACTTTCTATTGAGAAAGTATGTACATTTTGGCTTGGAATATACATTAGAGATGAAGTGTGCCTTTGCACTGTGTGTTTATGTACAGTTCGTAATAAAGCTAATCCTTTTTTTTTTTATTGTTGATTATAAAAAAAAGTTTCATGTTTCTTTGTAATTTTGTTAAAGGTAAAACCACCAACATACTAGTACTGTTGAATAACTTAGACGATTAAGTTGTTATCAGAAGTGAGACTTAGATGTGAATGTATGTCAGATGTTTTCGAAGTTTGCCTTTTCACATTCATGAGGATTATTTTTATCCAATTTAGTTTTGCTACATGCACCTGAGTCAGAATTAGAAAAAAAAAAGCTATGATCTTAAAAAAAAAGTGTAATGGAAACAAATTGTTAAAAAAAGGAATCTTAATACTGTCAATCACTACACAAATGCCCCTACACTAGTTTTGTAGTCAAACATCATAAATCACAACTAATATTAACTTTGAGGTCATGTCACAAGGGGAATGTCTAGCTTTTGGAAAGGCCAGAGGTCACAGTTTCCCTATCATCCATCGCCCTTGTGAATATTAAAACCCTCGCTGTTTTCAAAAAACTGCACTGGCTTTGTATCGCCGAACAAAAAAACATTTCTAAGACTTCCTTCAAAGCTCTTTGAAAACAATCTGGAGGTCACGACTGACACATTTCTATATAATTCAAACCCTCCAAAGTAAAACTGCCCCCCATAGTTTAAGGCTACGTATCGCTCAAATGGATCCGCGTCTTCAAAAAGGATCCTCTTACTGTTCAGGAATGCCTGAACCACTGTGCTGTTTAAAGAGATGGAGACATTATGCCACTTGTTGCAGCAGAGAGTGAGATTCCTCACAGTGAAAGGAAGAGAGAGTCTTTCTCCAAGGTTGACTGCAATTTTAAGATGGCCTCTCTCGAGTCCCACTGCGAGGTAGTCGTCGTCTTCGTGTTCGGCTTTTCCCATCCACATGATCAGACTGTCATTTGAGCTTGTGCGGAAACTGAATGAAACCTGTGCGTATTTTAAATTCCTCGAGTTGTACCTCGGGTCCGAGTATTTAACATAAGAGTTTCCAACAAACCTCAAGGTGTCTGTGGATATTTCTGTGTCACAGTACGTCCCTCCCCATCCTAAGGGGCATATGCAGCGGTATGAGGTGACAGCAGACGGAGTGCATAGAGAACCGCGCTTGCAGTTGTTATTCACACAGTTTACGGACTGGTTACATGCAGGGCCGGTCCATAACGGTGGGCATATACATGTAAATGAGTCACTTCCCGTTGGCCTGCAGCGACCTCCGTTCTGGCAGACCTTGTACCCGCATGCGGTGCCATCCCAGTCCCCTACGTTAGCTCCGCTTACAGCTCCCATCTCTGTCAGCTCTAACTCTTCACCATTCATTATGAGTTCTCTGAGGCCACCGGTGAAGCTCATCGGCTCCCTTTCGGTTGCATCTGTGGAGACGGAGCTCAGGGTGGACACACCGCCAACGAAGACGTCTGTAGCCACGTCAAGGGTGGTCATCCCTTCGGTGGCGTTCTCTCTGACCTCCTCGTTATCCAGACTCAGGAAACCTTGGTGACCGATTCGACCAGCCTTCACAGTGTGCCAAGTGCTGCCGCGCAAGTTCACTTTCTCAGAAGACTGCAGGACGTGGGTGCCGTCCCCGAGATTGTAACGCAACTGAACAAACCCAGATGTCAAGGAGAGGCAGAAGAAATCTCCTGTAGGAAGAGTATAAGGTATTTTTTTTATAAAAGGCCCCTTTCATCTGCGTATTGTATAGTGGAGAATAGTTCCAACATCACCTACTCACAGCCTCTGATGATTAACTACAAGGACATTACTGTTGAGTTTTTTTTTAAATGCAATGGTTACAACAAAAACTACATTCTAAACCTCTTGCACATATACCCACAAAAAAAAAGACTACATTTTCTGCATGCCTGAGTGCAACAAGGTCCTCCTGTGATGCAGTTCAGCTAAAGAACCATTTCATCTCTGAGCCTCTCAGAGCAGCGTGGATTGCTATTTTATGTCCTAAAATCAATTAAAACATTTGGTGACTCATAGAATGACGAACACAAAAACATATTTTTTGTGTGATGAGTACTACCCACAATAATTTATTTTAGTGTCACAACTTGGACTAATGTTGCAGTTGCACAGCAGTCTTTGCAGTAAACAAAGTTGGTGATGTGATACTTTTCATTAGAATATTTGTGCTCATATTGCATTAATCATGTTTGCCAGTGAGGTCAACACAGGTACTAATTAGAAAATTCTTAAAAGACCTGTTAGTATCAGTGCAGAATATGTTACTAACAAGCTCTTTAAGTTGCCCTTAGCAAGAAATCGTTCAAGAATAACTCATGCACTGAATTAAGTGCTGCAAGACAGCATGATTATAGGTAAGTACATATATAGATTTAAGTGCTAGGTAAGTATAGAGGTCTACTTGCCAAGCAACTTTAGGTGTGTTTAACGTGTACCATGCTGGCAGGGCAGTGAATAATAATTTCAAATATGGAAAATCTGCCCAGTGCACTTTAAATTGAACATTTTGTTTTTTAAAATAAAGCAAAGGACCTAACATGGAGTCCTCACCGGCTCTGGCACTGAGATGCTGCGCAGTGTAGACGAGGATGCCATCAGGTGATAAAGGCTGGAACTGCAGCTGCAAAACCGTCCTGTGTCGAACGCTCATAGGTGCGAATGACATCCATGAAGACTGATTGGCGCTGAAGAACGGATCGCTGATGGCCACAGCTGAATCAGAGAAAAAAACAGCGATAAATAATTGAACAGCTAAGGCATTTTTCTTAATGGAAAAAGTAAAATATATACGGTGTATCTATACAGATATAGTTTGGGTTCAAGGGTTCAGCGATGCAACCTTTCTCGCAGTAGACTCCTGCAGTCCCCAGGGGGCACTGGCAGGTATATCCGTCGGGCAGGGGGATGCAGGTGGAGCCGTGGGTGCACAGAGGAGGGGGCCTGTGCTCGACATCACACACAGACACAGTCTCCGAACAGAGCGCTCCCTTCCATCCAAATGGGCACTGGCAACTGCAGACGGACACAGTCAGACACTGTGTAAAGCTTGTAAACGCTGTCATTTCCTTTTTTCGCTACACTCGCACTGTGTAACTGATTTTCTGTTGATGTCTAGTCACGATACATACAGAAATACACGTGTGCCGCAGAGCTGTCTGGTGCATTCTGCTCACCAGCAAGGCCTTACATGTGTTATTCATGAATGGAATCAATATGAATATGAACATGTATAGCTTTATTTTTCACGTACTACACAGATGAGCCGGAGTCCATGCATGTCCCTCCGTTCTTGCATTGAACATAAACACAGGGAGAGACTCCACATTGACCCACGCTGCGTCCGAAGACCGGACGACCCGCTGGCTGTCCCAGCGCTTGGAACTTTCTGTCTCTTCTTGTGCGAAACTCCACATCAAAAATGCACCCTTTGAAAAAGAACAAACACACCGACGTATAAGCTAACATCTTTTATATCTCCGGTAGGGAATATCAATATGAAACATACCGTTCTATATTGCCCTGTGTGAAGATGAAAGATGTGGATACTAAAATCTGAATATGATTTAGATTGTGTTTCTAACTCAGTAAGACCAATACAAAGGAAAAAAATCCCCTCTCAGAATGTGTGCAATACTTGAAATGAATTTCTTTGATGGTTGTTTATTTCATCATGGGATAACACAGGGTTTCATATCTGGCAACACAAACTTAAATCCGGCAATTTTGACGAGATGTTAACTCTCGAATTTGATGGAATTAAATCTCTACAGTCTTTATATTTCACATCAAAGATGCTTGAGGTTCTAAATCCAAAATCCCTCCCCCCACTGTCATCACGCATCTCCCTCATCATATTTGCTTTTTGCTTTCATAATTCAATTTTATCAAGACAATATTTGCTTTGGCCTGTACCTGCAGAGCACAGGGCCTTCTATAAATACTAGGCCTGAGCACAACCCTCGATGCACATGCACTCCTTTCTCTCTGCTGCATTACTCATTGGCATAAACAGGATGCAGGGGAAATGTCATGCTCATTCATGAATATTCATGGCATGATGCTGTCTACTTGGTAGACTCAAGTGATGGCTGTGTTGCTGCAAACACAGGCCGTTGAAAAGTGAAGCAGATTTAAAAGGACGATAAGAAAATGTGGTTATTTTTGTTTTAGCTGCGCGCACATCACAACTTGTCAGGGAGCCGAGAAACCCGAGGAACTTAATGTAGCAATTATGCCTGTGAACTAAAACTTAAAGTGACGTGCAGTAAAGTTGATATCGCAGAGAATGTTTTCTCACAAAACTATTTAGAAATAACATTTATAATCTTTGAATATCCAAAAAATGAATGAGGCTCGAAAGGAAATTAGCCTTAAGATCTTTCAGCAAGTCTGATAAAAAAACATATCTGCATCAAAGCTGTATCTGAGTTTTAAACCTCGATAAACACAAACTTCCTAATTTTCGGTTATTTGATGAACAACTTAAATTGAGTACCAGATTTTTCCTCCCCTAGCAGCCACACTGCCTCCTCTTCCACCTTTCCACAGGGGAGTGTGGATCTGTTGATAACTGGGAGTGAAGTGCATTATCAGTGTGTTCACTGCCAGCCATCATGATTAGGGCTCAAGGAAGGTCACACAGATCTGATTAGACACTCATGAGTTCTCATTACATCCTGAGTAGAAAGGTTATGGTTCTACCAGCGTCGCCCCGGCTCAGGTAGTGCTTACCAATACAGGGCGCTGTGACAGTCTGATACAGCGCGGCCAAGCTAATGCTTTACCACAGCTGATTTGATTTTTCAGGGTATATTTGGTGAGCAGAAAAATGAATTATATGATGATAAACAAGCAAACACACAAAATTGCTCCAGTCCTTAAAAATAAAAAGCTTTTGTTCAGCCCAAATGGATCTGCCATGACGTTTTATAATAACAAGCTTCACTGCTGTAGTGCAAAGACTGCTGAATATGGTTATGATGATATTCATAGCTGTTGTCATCATTATGGTTATGGCAATTTTGCTCCGCAGCTCCGCACATTAGCAGGCACAATGAATGCTCTCCAGAATGCATTCCTACACGGGGGTCACCTGAGAGAAAGCATAAATGATGTTGATGATGACAAAGATTATTTGGATAGCGAGCCTTGTTCAAGTGACTTATCAGCAGTGGAATGGATTTACACACGACGCACTGTATGGGGTGTGAAGCGATTACAGGGTGCAGATACAATCAACCTCAAAGCTCTGTTCTGGCCTCATACACGGCCCGAGTCTGTAACTCTCTTTTCATTACACACCTCTTCCTCTCTGCTTACAAAAAGACAGAGATCCGGGGGAGAAACTCCGAGCCCCAGCGCTCTAACTGCAGATAGCAGCGCCGGGTTTGTTATGAAGCCTCAGCAGTCTTACCCTGAAATCCATGACGGAACCTGGAGCCGAGTGGCAGCAGTTCAGGGGTGTACTCATTATATCCTCCTACAAAGAGCTGGTTGAAAACATTGAGGCCCGCCAGAGGGCCTGGAGACAGTCCGGTCCTGTTACGTTGTCCATCAACCTGAGAAAGACACAGCAAGATGTCAATACTAAGCAGGAGTCCTGCGTCTGTCGGCGTCACCGTGGGAGCATCAATTATTTAACAATCTGCCAAAGTTGACAACATGTGTGACCTTGAATTGATCACTGTGTTATTCAGTATGTGTTCACTTATTAGTAATAGCTACTAAATTCCATGTTTGGGCCTTAGAACGGACTTCTTCCAGGCATTGAGTCACCGGGGACCTTGACCTGTGCTGCGTTGATAGCACCCTGCAGGTTTTTTCAACCACACTTAGATGATGCCAACATCCTGTTCTACCTTATAGTCGGACCAAAAGGATCACCTGGTGCGAGAAACCTGCTGTGTTCTGAGGAACCTTTCACGTCGACATAACACCATATAGCAGTCTATAGCGTTTATGTGTATATGTGCACTGTATGTATGATGCATGAGTTTGTTCCATTTACAGTCAAGTGACAAATATAAGCAACAGCTGAATAAAAAAAATAGAAAGAAGGGTCACCGAATGGTTCGTTACAGCTACACCTCTCCTTCCCATACTTCCCCATTGCTCTATTATTAATTCAGGGCTTTAGTTTATCTTTAGATGTACTTTTTCTGCTGTTTTCACCATCTACAGCTGCAGCACTGGAGCTCATTCTATTGGAACTAGATGAAGTTGAGTCTGATCTAATCTAAGAAAATGAAATGAACTGTGACACTTCATCATAATTTATAACCAAACAATGAAGTAAAGTTCTCAGATTGTTTCATGTGAAAGATTTTGAGAAGCCTAAAGGCATAGAAGCATTCAGCAATTCACACGAAAAAGGCTAAATGCAGAAAGAATAACTTTATTAGATATACTTTTGTATAAATGACATAATCGTTTTAATTATCTACTGGCCCCCTCAAACTTACCTTTACCCTTGAATGGTCCCCCAGGCTGGGAAACGCTGAATTAGCAACTAAGCAGTTCTGACAGCTCGTGGCAGTCCTATACCTTACTGCTTAGCTGACTTTAAACTGTCACCCACTCGTGTCTGTGAACAATGTATAGGTAGGGACAGTTGCTGCAGTCATCTGAAAAAAACATTACCTTCAGCCATCCTGTTTTCTTGGATCTTCCAAACGTGACAGTGTGGATGTTGATCTGGTGGTTTAGTCGATCACTAACTATGGTTGCTATCCCCGATCCCAGGTTGAATTTATGTACAACTCTTCCACTTCGTAGTCCCAAAACCAGGAAGTCATCGCCGTCATTTCCTGCAAAGTATACAAAATGTTAGCACAGCAGACTCAAAAGATGTAATAAATAACATTTTGTTGCAAAATACTGAAATGCTGTGCTCTCAGTACTACATCTTTAACAAACATTGTGAATAAATAATAAATTTGTTTGGCTGCAGATGAATTTTAGATTACTTTGTGTTTCGTAATGTTATACGTTGCCTTCCTGCTCATTTAATTCTGTGTAACTTGATCATAGGCATCGAGTAATTCATTCTGCCACATTCTTCGCTGGTGGTAATCAAAGACTCTGCTTCGTTATAGCAATAATCATGTGAATTGTTCATATTTCATCTATTCTCATTTTGTGCCTTTTGAATTTGCGCCAGTCCTACGGTGCTGCTCATTCTTCTGACAAGTGCTTCATTATTCATATGGCTCTTGTTTTGTTTTGCCTCCACCTTGATGATTTGTATTCTCAAGAGAAAACAAGTGCAGGAGATCCACGAGATCTTTTATTTATTTATTTCTTTTTAAAACATTTCTTCGTCTCTTGATGAAATATGTTGGTGACAATGGCACAGCAGTTACCTGCTACTCAATCTGACCGCAAAGAAAGGAGCTCCTAATTTAACGTGACGGCTGCTGACAGCACCACGACGCTCGCCCACACCTCAAAGTCTGCTTAATGCAATTAACTTTTAAGACTTTTAAGATGCTTGGTTCATTTTATGGGAACAATGGCAACATGTTCCTTTTTGCAAGTCGGGAACAATAACAGTTTAGCGGGAAATCAACTAATTGCTGGACTGTGGGAAAACTCATTATTAATGTCTCAAAATCTGCCAAGAAAGAAAATCCTCAGGGAGACCTCTTGATTAGAGGATCTCAGAGGAGAGTAGAAATCCATTAGATAGCACATTACCATACACAGCAGGTGTAACAAAATGGCACTAGCATGTCTTTTAAGACCCTTAATGAAGTTTGACAACTAAAATCCAACTAAGGAGACGTCTCAAAATAGCTTTTGTCTTTTTAACTTGACCGCATCAATTAATTTAAATTGCTATGTGGGTGTCAGGACTGAGCTCACCTTGTCCTTTATGCCCAGCAAACAGCATCAGGTTGTCTTTGGCGGCAGATGAATTGTCTGCAAGCGTGAACTTCAGCTTGAACTCATAGAAGAAACCGAGGCTGGGGATGGAGGAGTAGGCCAGGAAGGAGGTGTAACCGAACTCATCACTTCCACTGAATCTGGCACGAGTTATATTGATGGCTGCAAAACAAAAAGATTCACAAAAAAAAGATCATATTTGTATGTACTGGCTGTGTCTTGTTTAAATGAAGAGGTCTGATTCATCATCTCCCCCTCCCCTACAGGTTACCAAAAGATGGCACTATTGCCCCACATTACAGAACAGGAGGCGGTGAGGTATTTTCTTTTCTGATGCTATTAGATGATGACCTGTTTTCAAATACTACCACCTCTTCAGTCCTATTCTATTTTCATTAGTAGCTATTTAGGAAGGATTCTGGCAGGCAAGCTTCACTTCGTACCCAATGTTCACAAGGGGAGCACAATAATCCCAACGATATTCAATTACAATCTCAAGTTTACTTATTCAGAATGCATGGTTGATTCAATAATGCTCTGTCTTGTTTTCCATCACAGCATACCCATCTACTTGATTTTACACAGGGGACTAAATGTAAATTTGCCCACGCTCATTGAAAATTACACGCCGCTATTTTTTTTTTCATCCCCCCCCCACCTCTTCACATCGACAAGGATTCAAACGCACAAACCGCTCCTCTTCACTGGAAACACCTTGAATATTCTTGTGCAGCCCCAGGCGATGGCTAAGAGGGGTTCAGAGCACCCCTCTGCGACTGCCCTCAGCTCTGTTTGGCTGCTAAATTATTAATAAAGCTGCAAATGCTTATGCTATCATCCCTAGTCTGCTGGAGCTGTATTTGCCTATTGCTTCATTGAATGGCCACAGTCTTCCAGCCACATCTTATTTTTAAACTGCGCTGTGTTTGATTTGATTTTGTACAAGATGATCTTTTTGCCCTGTAATAACAACCCAGATCTTCGTGCGTCTCCCTTCACTTGTTCAGACCGCAGACGCAGCATCATCACCCTTGAGCCTGCCGCACAAATTAAAGAGTATCAGACCTTTTCAAAATTGAGATATTTTTCATATATGGTTGATATTTTATCCTTGGGACTATATCATTTGATCAGAATTTCTGATTACTAGCTGATTAATTTTTTAAACTTTTTTTTCTCCTTTTTTTTCCCTTTTAATGTCTGTGGCATTGCTTTTGAAAAATATTTATTCTTCTACACAGAAACGATGTACATTTCACAAATTATGCTTATCTAATTAAAAACGAGACCACCTCTGCTTTAGGTTATGTTGTTCAGTTTTTTTTTGCCATAGAAGTGCCAGAAAGTTAAGACTCAACTTTTGGAGCCAGAGTTAATTGTGTTAGACTACATTAGGTTTCATTATTTGTTTTGTATATGGGAAGGTTACACAGGGAAAAACACCATTAAATAAACACCACTCCTGTTGATTTTGTGTACATGTCCCGGTATGCTCTGAAATAAAACCCATCTAGAGTTAATTCAGAGGACACTGAAAATTACTATGAGGCACCGTATTTCCAAGAGGTGTCTTTCCAAGAGGCAAGTGAAAAGGTTGATGTAACAATCAGTTACCTCTGAGTTTGCTAAACAAGACTGAGCAATCAAAATCACAAAGGCCAATAATGATTGTTGTAATCAATTACAGAGTGAGGCTTTCTGTTATTCATTCCTTATGATTAAAGACCCCCTCTTGTAGAAATCAAGTTCTTCTTTTTTTACCTTGTTAACATGTCCATATGGTGTTTTATGCAAGACAGAAGACACATCATGAGCAGGAGAAGCAGTCAACTGCATGACTAAGCATTTCTACCTTTGAAGTGCAGTGTACGGGTGACAGTCTCCGAAACACAGTTTTAGACTTCTGCGGAACAAATCTTGTCGACTTGCAGAATGAGGCTCTCTGTATCATTATTCTTCTTTAGAATCGGTGTCCAGTTGAACACCTACGGCTGAAATATTGCAACTTGCCACTGTGTAGCATAGATTGCTTTAACAGTGTCATAGGTAAGCTGGTGTGCTCGGCTGCAGCGAATGGGGAGAGGTGCATGAAGAGAGAGCTGAAGACTTCTTAGATGCATTTTCTAAAGGAAACAATGAAGGCAGAGACAACATCTATCTATGGTAGTTTAAGGCAAGAAGGCAATACATTACTTCCATGGCAAAACTCTAAATGTGTAACTCTGATAAACAAAACAAAATCAATAACCAGCAAGATACTCTAAGCTAGCAGTTACCAATAATATATCAAAGTTTGTTGGTTTACAGTTATGTTGCTTCACCAAGTTTCTGTGAGCTAACTCTCTAAATACTGTTGAGTGCTGGTGAATGTAACTAGTGGTTAAAGAATATCTTACTAACAAAGAAGCTTACCAAGCGGCTCCATGAAATGCATTTATCTATGGATTATAACGCCACACTCTGTCAAGTAACATTACATAGCATTTCTACTGTGCTGTGTATTTGTGTAATGTTGTGCAAGCCAACAGGAGCAGCAGAAAAAAAAAAAAAGACAGAGTGACATGCAGCCCAGGATTGTGAAATAGACTCTGACATAAAACTGCATGTATACGGTGTGCATCATAGCTACCCGAGAGGAGCTGGGAAAAACATCACTTCTCCTGAGTTATATACAGATCCTGTATACACTATGCGATTCGCTTTTTTTTTTATTTTTTATTTTCCAATCTCAGCACAAAGAAAGGTTAACAAAAACTTCACCAAATCAATATTAGGCGCTTGGTCTAGAATAAAGTTGCACAATGTACAATATACACACAGTGAAGCCCTCAAAAATGGGTTCTATTAAGTGCAAAAGTTTAGGCACCTATTGGCAAATTACATACCTTCTTGATCTTTGAAGTAAAAGAAGAAAACCAGCGTAGCCACTTTTCAAACATCAATGCACTGCTGTTTTTATTTCAAAAACTTAAAAAGTAAAAATGAATCGGGGCCTGTGTTGAAAAGTTTGGGCTCTCTTCTGCTTGTAGGGTCTCAAAACTTCATTAACTTGTTCTTGGGTCTCGTAAGGCAGGTGAAGAATTCATAATTGTCAGCAAATGACAACTCCAGAGCTGCTAAATTCTCTAACTCTTCCAACCGTGTGGTAACGCTCAACAACCATGGGCTCCTCCAAGCAACTGACTTAAGATCTGAAAATGAAGCTAATTGATGCTTACAAAGCAGAGGGAGGCTATAAAAAGATATCAAAGCGCTTCCAGCTTGCAATTTTCACTGTCTGAAATGTCATTAAGAAATGACAGTTAAGGGAAGCTGTGGAAGTCAAGACAAGATCTTGGAAGAGCAAGAAAACTTTCAGATAAAACTGCACATCTGCAGGGCAGAAAGAAAAAGCAAAAACCCCCACATGACTGCAGCAGATCGACAGGAAGGTTTATAGCTGACGCTGTGCAGCACAAACGGAGGTCGACGAGAGTCGTTGGAAGGAAACGTCACCCGAAACGTCCCCGCAAAAGTCAGTTTCTAAAGCATGCAAAGCAACATCTGGGTAAAACAGAGCGGTTTTGTTCTGTGGAAAGATGAAGTGAAAATTGAGCAATCTGGCCACAATCACCAAAGATATGTTGGAAGAAAAAGGAGCGGCGTTTGATGAAAATAACACCTTGCCTGCTTTGCTTAGACAGAGGGAAGAAAAGATTCCCCTGGATAACAGCTAATTTTCAAGAAAGACGCTTGGTCCTACAACAGGACAACAATCCAAAGTCGACCTCAGAATCCACCATCATCAGGCTGAAGCTCCTAGATTGGCTCTCCCCTGACTCACTGACAATGTGTAGGTAGATTTTTAAGCATGCTATGCGTGCAAGACAGTTTAAAATGTCTTCGAACTGGAGGTGACCTGCAAGAAAGAGTTTCCTAAATCAAGAATAGAAAGACTCTTAGCTGACTAAAAGTAACAGGGCATTAACATTTGATGAAAGGCTCAGTTCTTTAATGTCTGTTTGTGTCAGACTTCAAAATGCAATTTGACAAGGGGTGTCCATAATTTTGCATGCAATTACAAAATGTAATTCACAAAAACAAAAAAAAAGACAGTGTCACATAACTGTATATATACAGGCTGTTGTTGGTGTGTTTATTGTGGTGATTGTGTTAAATCAGAGTTTGTTTGGAGTGGAAGTTTTCTGTTGCTTTGTGCACTCTGAAAACATTTGAAATTAAAATGTAATCTCCAAACAAGACTAATATTTAAGACAGACAACATGACTGGAAGTGGGAAAAATCTGTTGTATATTTCAAATGCAGTACATTGTTTATTTCTAATAATTCTTGGAATGAATCTTTAACAGGAGGTATGACCAACTTGTGTACAAAGGTAGGACATTAATAATTCTGAGTGAAGTCATCTTAAATATCCATGAATGTTTCATGAACTCGACTCTTGAGGCATTCCAGAATCACTTCCTAGTCTTCCCTTTCCTCCATTTCCTGCTCGTTCACAGACCACCTTATCTATTAAAGTGCACACGGGAACTCACAACTGAAGATATTACATTTAGAAAAAAAACAACATATTGCTGTTTCACGAGTCCTGGTAGACAAATAACTTCAACATTTTTCTCAAATAGACAGAAAAAACAGACAACCAGGCTGCTATTACTGTTTGTGTTTTGCTAAGGGCACCATGTAAGGAAAAGTGCCACGAGTATAGAGTACAAAAAAAAAAGAATCCCCAGGAGGCAGGGGGACCTTAGGAGTGATCAGTTTTGACTCTGATCTTATCTGATGTTATTAGGATTCAAATTCAAATGTCAGCCATTGACTTAGTGTGAAACTGGAAGGTTAGATTTCTCTGTCTGGCGTGTGGGTGCTGAGATTCTGACAGGAAGCTGTGGCATGACTGAGCAACGTATATGCCAAGCACCCTGCTGCTACTACAGTCAGCTTATTCAAGCAAAACCTTTTGTTTCCGAGAACCCCGTCCTGTGAAGCTCTTTTCTTTTGTGGCGTTACTGTTTGGAAAATAAACACGTAAATTGACACACGGAGCATTATGGAGTAGAAAGTTACCATTTGTTATCATTTCTGGGCCATTCTGTAGCCATTGAGTTATACAGTAAGTCAAACTTAGTATTTTTTTTTTTTGCAGTGAGTTTGTCTGCACAGCTGCTTTGAGCACATGGGAAAAGGCTTGTTAAGCACTGCCATATTTACAGCCTTAGTTTAACATGTTAGCATACTAACATTTGCACATTATATAGTGGTATATAGGGGTATATGGTGCAAAATCCATCCATCCATTATCTGTACACCGCTTAATCCTCACTAGGGTCTCAGGGGGGCTGGAGTCTATCCCAGCCGACTTAGGGTGAAGGCAGGGGACACCCTGGACAGGTCACCAGTCTATCACAGGGCTACACTTAAAGACAGACAACCAAGCACACTCACATTCACACCTACGGACAATTTAGAATCACCAATTAACCTCAACATGTTTTTGGACTGTGGGAGGAAGCCGGAGAACCCGGAGAGAACCCACACTGCACGAGGAGAACATGCAAACTCCACGCAGAAAGATTCCGGTGCCCCCACCGGGACGCGAACCGGCGACCTTCTTGCTGCGAGGCAACAGTGCTAAGCAACTGCGCCACCTTGCAGCCCTGGTGCAAAATCAAATACTGGAAAATTAAAAATCTTGTCAATATATGATTAATATTTGTAAAAATAAGAATAATAATAATGCAAAAGGCAAATTTAATTGTCTTGGTGCAGGTAGAGAGGATGACAAACACCTGCTTTTGTGTTTCCAAAAAGCAGCACAGATCCAGTCACTGATATGCCTCTTTGGTGTCGTATATATTTCATGCTATTGTGTCATACAGTTCCTTATATTGAAACTGAGAAGTGACAGTGAGCCATCTTATTAACATCTGTGATAACATCTTGTTAAGGTACAGTAGAAGCTTGACATATTTAGAAAAAAACACCTTTCAGTCCTACATCCTGAATTAAAGTCGCTGGGTAATACGATCTTACAAACTTGCAATAGTCTTTTTAGAATACTGAGCAAAGCAGCCATGAGGTTTTCTTTTTTTTTTTTTTTGCCTTGATTATCTGCCTCCATTGCTGCAGGAAGACGTTTCTGCCACTTCAGCAGAATTCAGTTTCATTAATCCCTTTATTTAACGACAGACTCTGATTCCAACAAGAGCTCAAGGCTCTCGCTCACCAACTGTTTGCAGATCAGCGTCTTAATAAAGCTGCCAAATCTACACCGCATTGTTCCGCGTGAAGCTGCTCTCTGTAACACTTACGCCGGTCGCACAGCAGACCCTGTCTTCCGTAGGGGCAGAGACAAACTGCTTCCAGAGGCGACTTTGGGATGCAGGTGGCTCCGTGACTGCAGGGGTTGCGCTCGCAGGCGGTGAGCTGGCAAAGTCGGCCCGTGTAAAGCGGAGGGCAATCGCAGAACCAGTCCTCGGCATCGCTAGATGTGTGCAGAGACAAGATAAAGGTCAAAGGTGAGAACGGATCATGACATGTCACGGCTTGCCACACTTGCACAGTGGCTTACAGAACACACAGGGAGAGGAGCGAGGATGAAACAACCCATCCTGAAATGTAAGAGAGCGAATGTGTCCAGCCTGATGCAATACCTGTGATATATGAGATCTGCTGAAACACAATTTGAGTGACTGTACAGATAGCGGTGGAGAAAAATATGAATCCTAGTGTGGATGTATTCATCTTAGTAGCTGCAGCAGATATAACTTCACATGTCTTTTCTTTTCTTTTTTTGTAAAAGTAAACATACGCAGCATGAAAAACAACAGTCGAAAGCTGATCATTAGTGGCATGTCAGGAAACTTATAACCAGAATTTGTACACAATTTTCTATGTCTTATTTCCTCGATTTCCACTCGTGCGCTTCCTCTTTTGGCAAGAAAGGGAGGTTGATCTAGCATGCAAAGTGATATCCAGACAGGGACTTTATAAAATGTTCCTAAGATGTGCACAGCTCTGAAAGGTATATCAGATAGGAGGAAGTATTGGTGGGGTTTCAAATCTATAAATTAATAATGTGTTTGGAGCAGCAGCACTGCAAAATGTATTTTGCTTCTTGAGAAAATGGCTTCTAGAAATGAAATATTTACATTCTGTCACCAAAGTCGAGCCTTGTTAGATGCAATTGTAATAAAACACAAAAGGACGCCGTATTATGCAGAAAGTATACGATTATTAACAGGCTGCTTGATTTTAAAGCACGGCGATGTACGGCAGGCAGAACACTGTCGCCGCCAATCGTGGCCATTATTTTTAAAATAACAGTCAGAGATGGAAAATGTCATGTAGTGAACAGAACAGGCATTGTTATTTTTTATAGTCTTTGACAACCTGCAAGAGGAAGAAACAAATATTTAATGGCACTGCACCTCCTGGTGTAGACGTGTTGATTCGCTGCTTTGAGTGCTGCTAATTTGTCCCTTGCACTGTCAGTTGGTGTTTGTGTTTAAATGTTGGTGACACACAAATTGCGTGGGTTTTTTCCCTCCAGAAGCTCCGGTTTCCTCCCACAATCACAACACACACACACAAGCTACCTGAAATCACTCATTGGTGGTTCATGTTTGTCACTGGGATAGGCCGGGACTCAGCACTCCTCCGACTCTTTTGAGATATTATTTATTGCATCCCAAAATGTAAACATGACTGTAGATTACTTTAAAAAGTTGCCGAATATCTGCTGGTAAATTAGACCGTGTTTACAAATGCTGAGTTTACTGACAAAGTAAATTTGCCTCTATGTGGACAAGTTTCAGCAAACGGATTTTGTGGTTTAGCTGAGGATGTGTTTATTTATTTATGTCTTTTTTTTAATTTTTTTTTTTACATAAAACAACATTGACCACAAAACAATCCACTGCCTTCACTGGGTAAACAACAATTCTTTTGCACTGAAAGCAGCATACAATTAACAGTACAGAGAGAGAATCAGTTGTGCGTGAAGTTTTTCGCCTGACATTGCTTTGCCTTTTCAGGAGGAAAAAAAAAATATTTTCGCCTCCTCGAGGAACAATTTCGATCCTCGAAAAAAGCATTAATGAAACAATAAAGCGGCCTATAAAGGCACGTGCAATTTAAGGGAAGATAAACCATTAAAAATGAATTGTTAAATGACTTGTGTATAAGAAATAAAAACAGGCAGAAGAGATATTTGTGGCTCCAAAAAAAGGTAAAAGTGTAGATGGAGCAAAGGGGGAAGAATACGGTGGAAAACACTTGAGTTTTAATTGGTCTAATCAAAAACTTGATGTGTGGGGTGACAAAAGGTTAGTCTAATTTGCCCCAGGCTATCACTTTGATTACGAAATTGTAGTAATGTTTGCAGACTAATCTGAATATGTTAATTACAAATGCATAAAGTTGGTAACCGCCATATCTCACGCCATTCAAAACGGCACCACTACAGCACACACACACACACACACACACACACACACACACACACACGCTGGATGAATTATTAAAGAAGACATACATTTTTAATCTAATAAGTACCAGATAAAATGATGAATAATTGACCGGTTAGCTTATGATATCCCTGTCAGCTAGAACAATAAGCTCTGCAGCCACATGCATTTCTTAGATTTCAGTCCTTGTAAGTTATTTACAGAGCACTTCTTTTCAAGTGCTTGTTGGTATGCAAATACACTGCTACAGTACGCCACTGATGAGGCTCCACTGCCATGAAGTCTTCAGTTCTCGGGATGAAAGCGTTTAGCCCACTTCATCCTTTGTTAAAATTAAAAGGACCACTGGGTTTAGCAGATATTATTTATAGAGAACTGCTTTGGTACTGAAACGCCATTTGCTTTCCAGCACCGCAAAGAGCCAATTGGACACCACTGTACTACAGACACTACGACTCTTAGTGGGTGGGAGGGAGAATCATTTGAAAGACAACTTGTCCCTCACCCATTTATTTGTAATTTGAATTTTATTATGAACAAAAGGGATGAAGTGGAATTTACACACGGCATTCACCTGACGTACTCGGGCTCCTGTTTGAGCAGACGGCTGTTCGATATTTCCATGACCTCTCCCAGGCACCCTTGCAAACATTTCCTTGGCGGTGAAGAAGGGTGATGTCTGTTAAGTCTCCATCACAGAGTCTTTTGAAACACACTGCCATAGAAACGCATACAAAGATGATGCTTGAAATAAAACCCCTTATAGGAAGGAGTTATAAAGCAGCGAGGGAACTTTTCTCAAGGGATCAGACAACATTTCTACAGTCCAACCCGGAACACAGTGCACTCTGCAGAAAGCTGTGCTTTTCTGTAACACTTTTTAAAGTATATTCGCATGTTTAAACTCCACACTTTTCAAATATGCTGGTGTATTTATTCAAGTTCTAAACTCCTGATACACTGACTGCAAAGGAAACAGTCTTAGAATACCTGAGAACATTGTCCTTTAATAAACTGAAAGCGCTGCTTCCATGTCTCGGAAATAAAGTTGTGTTACAATAATTTAGCATTTTTCGACAGCTCTGTATTGTCGGTAAGCTACTAACTCTTTAACCAGCAGCTGCATGTAGGATGTTCAATAAAACATGACACACAGAGTAAATACCATGTGTCACAGAGAATGCATGCCCCGCTGCACAGAGGACTCAACCTGAAAATGTGTGTGCATTTATACCAACACCACAATGATAACCTGGTCGGTTCACGGCGACACAGTTTAGTGACAAATCACCTACAGACCAATATTTCACATGATGAATGACTGAGTAAAAGTCACATCAACCTCTAGCCTGTTACACCAGCAAACAGCCAATCAGATAAGCACTGAAACAGGGGTTTATATTTAACATCAGAGATGCTGGTATGCAAACAGAACTGTGTGTAGCAGATGCGTGAGTGATAAACTCGTGTATCAGATCTGTCCATGGCGTGCGGTGGATGCAGAATGGACAAACACTTGCATGTTTACTGTTGCTCGGTGACACAAACACTGACGTGAAACAGAAGAAGTTCAGTGAACATCCATTATCTTTTGGAGAACAATGAAAATTGAGGGGAGAAATTTAAAAAACAGCTCTAACTGACATAACAAAGTACTGAGGGACAAAAAAAAAAGCCTGAAAGTAGGAAAAACATCCATTAAGTGGAAAAATGGTGAGCACACTGAGAGTGGCATGGCGTGTATGAATAAAATGAATAACATAACATTGTTTTTCCATCTAGACTGCTGTGGAGAAATTTAATGCCTCACTGTGGAGAACACATTCCTCTAATTAATAATAAAATTAAATCCTTAGCCTAGAAGTACAAACCAAACAAAGAAATAAAGGATTTCTGTGCTTTGGATTAGTGCATATGCAGTGCCTATAAAAAGTATTCACCCACCTTGGAAGTTTTTCTCCTTTTATTGCTTTTTAAGACTGAATCACAGTCAATTTGTTCTTTTGAAGAAAAAAAAAGCATCTTTCATGTCAAAGTGAAAACTGATTTCTGCAATCTAACTTCAATATAAAATGTAAAATAAGTGATAGCATAAATATGAAGCCCCTTTTAGGTGACTCACCACATGACACAGTTCAGCCAATTGGTGCTTGAAGTCACGCAATTAGTGGAATGTAGTTAATCTGAATGCTGTGAATGAGTCTGATGTGATTGTATTCAATTCAATTCAAATAACTTTATTAATCCCCTAGGGGCAATTCAAATTATAATTTAATTAATATAAAGAGACGTGTATCTGGATGGCCAGCCTACTAGTGAATCAGTTCTCCTGGCATTAACTACAATGTTAAGACAAAACTAACTTCTTCGTCAAAAACTAAGTGACCTTGCAAGACAGAGACGAGTATGGGAGGCTACCAAGACACCCATGACTTCCCTGAAGGAGTTACAAGCTTCAGCTGCTGAGATGGGAGCGACCGTGTGTACAACTGTTGCCTCTTCTTCACCAGTCAAAGCTTTAGTGGTAAAGAGGAAGTCACTGTTGAAAAAAGCTCATATTAAATCTCAGTGAGAGTTTGACAGAAACTATGTGGGAGACTGAATACAGCTGAAAGAAGCTTCTAAGACCAAAATTGAGCTTTTTGGCCATCAGACTAGATGTTATGTTTGATGGAAACCGAACACAGTACAACAATCACAGACACATCACTGTGAAGCATGGTGGTGGCAGCATCATGATGTAGGGATAGTTCTCAAAAGGGAGGCTTATAAAAGTGTAAGGTAAAATAAATGTAGCAACATTTAGGGAAATTCTGGAGGACAACATGATGCAGTCTGCAAGAGAACTGTGACGTAGAGCAGACTTGTTCTCCAGCAAGACAATGACCTGAAACATTCAATCAAAGCTACACAGAAATATTCTAAATACAATATGTGAATGTTCTGGAGTGGATGAGTCAGAGCCCAGGCCGAAATCCAATTGATAATTTGTGGCTGGACTTAAAAAGAGCTTTCA